GGGCGCGGAATCCGCTATGGAGGTGGTGGAGCTGGTCAACTCCTCTGGGGAGGAGGACGTCACTCCACGCCCTCCCAGCAGAGCAGGGGACCCGGACTGGGAGTATGAGGACTCGGGCGAAGAGGCGGGCCCTTCCAGGCCTACTTTTCGGACCAGCGTTGGAGGAGAGCAGCCCGAGGGGCCATTCCGCCTCCCGCTGCTCCATAGAGCCCAGGGAAGACCCAGAAAAGACGGATCAGGTTCATTCAAGGCTCTGTCCACCTCAGGATCGGAAGGAGAGAGAAAGAAGAAAACCCTGAAGGGGGGGGGGAATCTTCCGCCAACGGAGGAGGATATAGAGGCTAAGGGGACTTCCATGCTCATGGTTCGTCCCCCTCCTCTCACTAGAGGACAACGCGGTGCGGCCGAGCATTGTCTGAAACAGATGGAGCGCGGAACCTCTAGGGAGATCGTCGTCCATGCCGATAGGTGCTTGGACGAGATCGAGGATGCGAGGGTTAAAACCACCAATATGAAGGGTTCTCTCAGTGGTTAAATTAAAGTGAACGTGTACCTCTTGAGGGAGGTTTTAAGGACCTTTTCCAATAGGGCTAATAAAGTGGGCGACCCGGGATACTGGCGGTCCCGGGTGAATGTTCTAGAGGGGGACAACACGGCCTATAGGACCCAAAATGAGTCCCTCCTGAGGAAGTTGGCCAAGGAGAGCGCCATTCGCTTTCTTAAGGCTAACTCTCATATCGTGGAAGGGCCCATTATTAGGGATCCAAGATCTTCTACCCTTGGTAGAGACCCGATGGGGCGATTGGATGGGTGTGGCACGGGTGCCGCTTCCGTCACTCCGATCAACCCCACTATGGACCTGGGGATGGAGGCCCTTCGTCATACTCCGGACGATGGTGGGGTGGGATTTCGGATCCTCACGGAGGTCAACAGGTCATTGACCTCCATGATGGAATCCATTTAAAGAATGGAGGATTGTATCACGCGCCTTGAGGAGGGCGGACGAGCCGCTCCTGCCCCGGCGCGCGACCAGGGAATGGGGAGTAAGAAAATGAAAAAAAAGAAAGGGAAAACCGCCCCTCGGATGTCCGTCTTACCCCGTAGAGTGGAGGTCATGCCGGGGGGGGGGAGGGGGAGTCCACTGGGCGAGGAGCCCGTCCTCCCTTCTTCGGAGGCGGAACCACCCGCTGAGTGGACCTTGATCGGGAAGGGAGGCAGAAGAAGGAGGGAAAAGGGGCCACAGGGGCCTCCTTTACCCCCTGCAACCACTACTATACAGGATGGAAAGACGCGGGCGACGCAGCCCTCGAAGGGCGGTCCTTCCCGCGCGAGGATCAGGAGGAGACTCCCGCGGACTGCCGCAGTGGCAATCAACACCGCCACTGGCAGCTACGCGGACGTACTGCGGAAAGCGAAGGAGAAGATAAATCTCAGGGACCTCGATATAAAATCCCTGCGGATGAGGAAGGCGCGGAATAGGGGAATTCTGCTAGAGATACTCGGTGAGAAGTCCAAAATGAAGGCAGACGCCCTAGCTATCAGGATAAAGGACGCAGTGGCGGACCAATTTGGTGAGGTAAGGGTCTCCAAGCCCTCGAGAAGGATGGACATCCGACTCGTTGGCCTGAAGGATTCTATCACCCGTGAGGAGATAGTGGCAATCTCCCGGGAGGGGGGTTGTGATGGAGAGGAGGTCCGACTGGGACAGGTCTAGACCATTGGTCGTAGGAGTCTGAACCTGGCCTGGGCCCAGTGCCCTGCGGACGCGGCACTGAAGTTCGCTGAGGCGGGCTCAATGGACATTGGGTGGACCTTAGTAAAGGTGAAGCTCCTTCAGAGCTGTCCGGCCCAGTGCTTCCGTTGCCTGGATCGTGGACACGTGCAGCAGCGGTGCCCATCCAACGTGGATCGGACCCGCTGCTGTTATCGGTGCGGTGTGGAGGGACGCTCTACGGGTTCCTGCAGGGAAAGACCGCATTGCCCGGTTTGTGCCCTGAACGGGCGACCGTCGGACCACAGGACTGGGAGTGTGGACTGTCCCCCTATCCCCCCCTACGAGGGAAGTGCGTGGCGGCGTTACGTCCAGTGGTGGTGCGAGTACGAGTGCGCGGTCTCAGTTGCCCCCCCCCCCCCGCCCTCTCCTCCCCCCCCCCCGAAATGGAGACGGAGACGGTGGGCACGGGAGAGGCGAAAAGACCGAGGGAGGACTCGACCAGTCCGCCTCAGGCAGACCTGAAGAAAGCGCGTGGTCCTGAACCTTACCGTTCTTTTTTTTTTTTTTTCCGGTAAGGAGGGAAAATCTTCAAAAGACCCCCCGCAGCCCGTACTGCAGGGGAGTGCGGGATTCCCTCGCAGCTCTCGTCCTGACTAAGTGTCAGGACACCGCAAGGACCTACCCGCTAAAAACCCTCCTTCGTAAAAACTTGACCCAGCCTTTATAGAGAGAGAGGCGGAAGACCCATGGGGCATATCATCACCCCTCTCTCAGCTATTCTTCGAGGAGATCTTACACGTTCGGGCTATCTTCTAACCATTTGGTCAGCATAATTCTTTCCCTCTAGGAGGAAAAGATTAATTCTTCTCGTATAAGAGAGAATGTCCCTTATATATGAAAACTCCAACAGTGTCCTATGCAAGGACACTGATTCTACAGGAGCTAAGATGTTGACACAAGAAGGAGAGAGGCAGATGCCGATTGGGTTGCATTAAGTTATACAACCTGTCTCAACCTCTCCCTCTCCCTTTCCGCTTCTTCTTTGGCTCTCATTACTTTTGCGCAAAAACTGATAAAAGCCTTCCGCTTTGTGTCGTTGTTGATGACTTCTTTTATTATGGATGAGAGTGTCAGTCCTACTCCTTGACCCAGCACACCCCGAAGCGTCTCCCTCTCCTGATTCCAGGCAGGGCAGACCTCCAAAGTGTACTGAGCCGTGTCTGTTCCGGTGTTGCAATGCTCGCAATCCGGAGAAGTGGCCTTTTTAATTTTGAGCAGGTACTCTTTGAAGCACCCGTGCCCAGAGATTATTTGGGTGCAATGGAATGTTGAGCACCCTTTGTACATACTGTACCAATCCTCCAGGTGTGGGACAATTGCTTGCGTAACCCTAGTCCCACTGGTGTTATGGACCTTTGTTACTCTTGTCCTCCATTCTTTGAGCGCCTCTCTCTTGGCGTGCAAGCACAGCCTCACCTTGGACGAATATTCCATAAGTAAACCTTCTCGCTCTAGGTTCTTCCACTGTTTGTGAATCCTACTCAGGACCGCTGCATTCAGGTCCAAAGGAATATTCCTCGCCAAAATCATTGCGGCTACAAAGGAAATCGTCCTGTATCCACAGCATATCCGAAGACACACCTTCCTTTGTAGTTTGTAGATCATCCTTTTTATTTTTACACTTTTGGCCACATCCTCCGCCAACACTGGAACCCCGTAAAGGAGCACCGAGCTTATAATGTTGGAGTACAGCCTCCTTACTTGTTCTTTCAGGCCCTTTAAGTTGGGCATGATACCCGAAAGAGCACTGAACATTTGCTCCGCCTTTCGAACAGTACGTTCAAAATGCGGGACGAATGTCCAGTTTCCGTCTATTGTTATTCCCAGATATTTGATGCTGTCTCCGATCTGGACCAACTCTCCTTTTACTAGCGTATAAATCTTATGTTTAACAGAGCTCGCCGGAAACGCCATTGCTTCAGTTTTGCTAGGGGCTACTTTTAATCCAAGCTTTTCTATTTCTAGGATAAGAGCCGCAGCTGCAATTTCTGCTCTTTGCGCAGCTTCCTCTATAGTATGTCCATGTGCTAAGAGGATCGTGTCATCAGCATAGCATATCACCGTACTGTTTTCCGATAAGGCCGTAGATTGTAGCACCTTGTCGTATCCCACCTTCCAGAGGGTGGGACCCAGAACCGATCCCTGAGGGACACCCCTAGTGATCTCTTTTCTGGTTATCCCACCACTCTGGTCCATATAGGTTACCCATCTATTGTTAAGGTAATCAGTGATTATCCTCAACAGGTATTTTGGGAAACCCTTGTCTTTCATAGCGTTGATAATAGTTTTCCAAGGCAGAGAGTTGAATGCATTTGCTATGTCTAATGCCACTGCAACCACTATTCGATCTTGTCTGGTGCATTCCTGGACGTGGGATCTCAATCTGTTTATTGCGTCGATTGTGGACCTTCCTTTCCTGAACCCAAACTGTTCATCGGAGAGAGTATCACTGTCCCTCAGGTGGGTATGGATCCGTTCTACGATCACTCTTTCCAGAAGTTTCCCGGTTTCATCGAGTAAACATATGGGGCGATAGCAGCTGGGATCTTCCGCTGGACCTTCCTTTTTCTTTAACAAAACGAGATTCGCGACTTTCCATTTATCCGGGAATCTGCCCTCCCTGAGGCAAGACGTGAAACACTTTGCCCACAAAGGAAGCAAGTGCTTCGCCGTTCCTGTCATCACTATGCCTAGAATTCCTCCTGGACCTGGTGCCTTGTTGTTGTTAATCTTGCTCATGGCCAATTTGACCTCGTGTTCTTTTACATCCAATTCCGGATACCAAGTTGGATATTCTGTCCTTGATCTTTGGATTGTTTCTCCTCTTGGAAATAGTGTGTTTGTTATTTTTTCCATCTTATCCGGTGATAATGTGGTCACTAATGGCATTGCCTGGGGGCATAGTTTCCTAGTTACTATTTTAAAAGGACGACCCCAGGGGTCTTGATCGATAGTTGCCATGAGATCCTTCCATGCGTTAGTTTTAGCTCTTCTTATTGCTAGCCGTAACTTTTTCTGCATCTCTCTGTATTCTTCTTCTAGTGTAATTATTATAGTACTATTTTCTTTCGCATTTTTTTTTCCTTCTAGTTAATTGCCTTCTTATTTTTATACACTCTTTTCTTATAGACGCAGTTTCCTCGCACCACCAATAGGTGTTCTGTTGGCGGTGTTTTTTGACTCTTGGCATTGCCATATCCGAGGCTTCACGTAGAGCTTCCTCTAACTAAGACACCTGTATTTGGACGCTTTCTTCCAGATGTCTTCTATCGCACCAGGTCTTGGCCATGATCGCAGCCAATAATTGATCCGGGTTTATCTTTTTCCCGTTCCATCTAGGAAACTTATTTCTCGATTTTATAGCTCTTTCTCTGATCGGAGCCAATGTGGATCTCAGGGTCATCCTGATATAAAGGTGGTCAGAGGCTGAGGGATTATTCCCGTCCACGTACCATTTCCGTATTCTACTATACATGGCAGGAGTAGCCCACGCAAGATCCACCGTAGAGCTTCCCTGGGATCTCACGCACGTAGGCGTGGAGTCTCTGTTGACCAGAGTGAGGCCCCTGCCTACAGCCCAGTTTGCCAGTATCTCACCTTTTTTATTTTGTTTTTTGTCCCACTGGAGAGACCTCGCATTAAAGTCTCCCAATAGTAGGATTTGTCTACTTAGATTAGGGTCTATCATTGTGCTTACCAAGTTGAGAAAAGCCCCGAACTGTATATCGCTCATTCTCGGCGAGCAGTAGCAACCCACAATAATAATTTCACCCCACTCGATAGCCACCCAGTTGACCATTCTTGTCAGAAGTGTGCAGGGAAAGTTATCTCCTACATCGCCCCCTCCCCATATGATAGCCACTTTGGGAAATTTGCCAGTTGATCCCCACCATCTGGGACTCTCTGGTATCATATAGGGTTCTGCTACTATGGCGAGACTTGTTCTCCACTCCCTCATATTTTGAAGGAGGAGGTCTTGGGCCCCGCCAGAGTGATTTGCGTTTGTCTGGATGATCGTGAGGGCCATTATCGTACAGTGTTGTCCTCTACCTCCATGTCTGTATCCTCTCTCGGCTATTGTACCGTTAGCTTCGACTCATTTGGCCTCCATTTAGATGGAGGGCAAGGTGGACATTCAGGGCTGCCCACCTTGTGACCGTCTTTAAGTCCTTTGCTCTTACATATTAGGCAGCTGACTTTTCTTGTACAAGCTTCCGCCTTGTGGTCTATTTCTCCGCAATTGTAACAGTGGGAGGACCTATCTATATTCTCCGGGGGACACCTGTTACGCGTGTGTCCCCTAGCGAGGCATCTGTAACATTGTAGAGGCCTTTTTTGAAGAACCTCTACTTTGGCTGTCGTCCATCCTACTCGTATTTTTGCTTCTTTGGCTAATTTAATAGCTGCTATTGCAGGCATTTGTAGCCAAATTGATCCCATTCCTCTTTTATAGCGCCTAATAGGACCACAGCGTATGTCATCTTTGTGACATCCGCCTACTGTTGCCGCTATTTGGCTTATCCCCTCAGATGTTGCAGACTCATCAAGCTCTGATATCCTCAGGTCCATTTTTTGGGTGGGACGCCCGATTTTAATTTCCTCCCTTTCTTCGAATACTTTCCGCAATCTTTCAGCTAGTATATTAGCCTTCTCTTTAGATTCTTCTCCTGGAATCTCAATTACCATTCCTCCTGTATATGAAGGAATCGTTTTTATATCTGTAATTCCTAGCTCATTTAAATCTATCGCTGCTTGTGCCTCTTTAAGGATTTCCGAGTACGCGGTATTTCCTTTTATGCGTGTGATGGTAACTGCGGAAGTACGCATTAGCCTTCTTTCCTTACTTTTTAGCATAGACTTTTCCTTTCCTTTCCTTATAGGTGGTGGAATATTCTGCAAGGTCTTTTCCTCTTTCCTCCCTTTCCTTGCCTTCCTACCAACAACTTTATTCCATGGCAGGTTTTGTTGTTGAGTATCGTTCTTTCCTATTTCCATTTCTTTTGTATTAACTCTTTTTTCTGTTTCAGGTGCAGTAGACTTGTCAGCAGATGGAGCAGCAGTTGCAGTCACAGTTGGATCAGCACTTGTCGCCACCCCTGATGACTTCGTAGCAGTGATTCCAGTCCTCTTCTGGGTAAGTATTGTATTGTCTTTTAGTGATTTATTTTTTGTTCTCTTTTTATTTTTATCTAGTATCTCCGCCCTTTTATTTTGTTCTAGAAGTACCTTTTCTTCTTTGTTTCCTATAGTTCCTTTGTATTGTAATTGAACTAAATTCTGTACTACCATTGTTAGACCATTAATCGCAGTAAGAATCTCACATGTTTGATCCTGGCCTCTCGTACCTGTTACTGTTGTCATAGGAGGGATATTTTCCAAGACAACCTCCTGTTCGAATTGTAACTTACCACCTTTTATTACTCTGTTTCTGAGTATCTTACCTTCATCTATTACTTTAGATACTCCTTTAACCGGAGGTCTTATTGCCAGTGGAACGTACATCTCTTCTACTATGGGATAGCTGACCTCTTTATCGTGAGAGATAGATTCCATGTCCTTAGTAGGAGAAGAGAGAATCTCCTTTTCAGTAGCCATTATTTGGTTCAATCTCTTTTTCAGCAATTCATTTTCATGCTTGATAAGAGTTATCTCTTTTCCTAGTTTATTTACTTTTTCTTGTAGGTATTTTGTATCTCCACTGTGTATTGCTCTTTTAGCAAGTAGATCTATTGCTTCCATAGTTGCATGTGTATTTACTTTTATTTTCCTGTCCAGGTTACCCTTCAAGTTTTTGGACTTAGCTCGTGACTCATCGACTTCTTTCAGCCATCCTGTTACCTCGGCCAATATTTCAGCAGTAGAACTATCTGCCAGCTCAGCCAGTTTGCATCCCGCCTCCAATCGCTGGTCATAGTTAAGGTCTAAACCTCCTCTTGTTGCTCCCTCTTCCTCAGAAGAGGAATTTTCCATGGTTTTTCTACATTTCCTTTTTTTGGCAATTTTCTTTTGTTTACAGCTCGAACCTGATTTTGCAGTTTTCCTGGATGAGGCTGCACTTTCATTACCTACACTGGCATTATCTGAGTTTGCTGTGAGGTCCATATAATCTATCATTTTATGTTCCTCTGTCTTACTGCTTTGAACCTTTTTTTTAGGTATTATCTTGGCTCTTGTAACTGGAGTGATAGTGACCTCCGGTAGTATTCCTGGCGAGGCTCCAATGTCCATATTAATATCGGGTCTATATGTCTGTTCCTGTTCCTGTAACTGTACCTGTAAGATACTTGAAGGTAAAAACCCATTATTTTCTGTTTCTTGATCATTCCAGGCTTTTCCAATTGTACTCATTCCTGGTTGTTCTCTTATTTCGTAGTTTACTTCTTCATTAGAGACGATAACTGGTTTCGCTGAATCGCTCGTCACCAACAACTCAGCCAGCCCTTTGCTTGATGACGACGTATTAGAGGCAGGGACAATACCTCTGAATACGCCGACCACTGGGGCATCCGACCTCCCCTGTGATTGTAAGTCCATTTCATTAAATTCCATTAAATCCATAACTTGTAATTTTTAACACAGTTTTCTTTTGCGGGTTTATGTTCGGAGTTTTCCTTCTCCTAGGTCGGTTGCCGGCCAAGGCTGAAGAGCCCGACCTGCCCTGTGAGAAAACGCGACCGGGCCCAATCCAACCACGCGTCGGGCGGCTTCGGCCGTGGGACCGGACCGGAAACCAGGGGAGACTCCCCAGAGGATCCGCCCCGGACCATCGCCGTCACCTTCATCTCATAGGAGATTATAGGGTGACCCAGTCCGATGTATCTGATATTTTCAGACACATCGGGCTGTCCTTCCTCAGAAGACTGAGAGAACATTCCCGGTCTTTACCCTTGCAGGACACCTGGACTGATCCCAGCCAGGCACCCACATCCCCCCACCGAGGCCGGCGACCCGGGCCCCATTAGGGAACCGGGCCGTGAAGGAGGTAGCGGGACAGGGAAGTTCGGACCAACACCGGACCGTCCAGGATCTGAATCCCAATTAGGATCAGCCTACGTTAGGGCCAGGAGTTATGCGCTTGTACGTCAACCCTGACCCTCATTTGACATGGCAGATGGTACGATGGATTTGTCCGAGGCGAGGTTTTAGTCGGTAGGCACCGTCTGTTCCTGACCAAGGTTAGGATGGGCGGTGAATCCGACACTACCTACCGTCAGGCTGAGGGCTTGCAATCCTTAGTCCTTGCACGACGGGAGGTGTCTTGTTGAAGATTTCCTCGCCCCGAGGGGCCCTTCTAGCCCTCAAACCAACTCTAAAAAAAAGAAATAATGTACAGCAAGGTATATATTACTTAGCAGTTACATTGTTGAATTATTTAACAATTAACTGCAATATAACATACCTTGCTGTACTTTATTGAGTGGAAAAATTATAATATTAATGTTATGTTACTTTGTATTTACTAAGAATATGAAATAAATAATAAAATATTAATATTGTGTCAATGTTGATATAATGATAAAATAAGGTTAAAAGTAAGTTTAAATCTAATCATTTATTTAATGTTATATGAAAAACATTATATTAAAATTATAAAAAACATTTGCACAACATTATTCGTAATATTAAGACACTCCCATTTCAACGTTATTGAAATAAGTAAAATCCGTAAGTAAATTAAATTCCCGTCCTATCGCACCACTCTCTGATGATCCTAGTGACCTTACGTCCTTAACTCCTGGACATTTTCTAGTCGGCGGACCATTGGTAACCATACCGGAGGAATCGCTGCTAGATCTGAAGGAAACGCGATTAAATCGTTGGCAACGTGTACAGCGTATGTACGAACAATTTTGGCGCATCTGGTCCAAAGACTATTTACACTCACTGCAACAACGCCATAAATGGCAATACACTCAGGTTAATTTAAAGCCTAATGAAATTGTATTAGTACGTAATGATTTATTGCCACCCTCAAAATGGGAACTCGAAAGAGTAATGTCCACGTACCCAGATGACAGCGGACAAGTACGCGTTGTCGCGTTAAAACTATAAACGGAATTTACAAGCGTCCGATAATAAAGCTGTGCCGTCTCCCAGTGGATACAATTTCACTTGAAAAAACAAATTGACATTACCACGGCGGGCGGTAACCATTCCCATGATTGATTGTATAACATTTATTCGACGACATTTAGTTAACATGCTATTAAGTTACCATAATTATGGTTAGATATATTTCCATTGTTTTATTCCCTTTATCCAGTAGTAATCCTTTTCATAGTTCTTTTTCATTTCTTGTGCTAGCATATAGCACTCGTCATTCATCTCATTAGTTAATTGCGTCATATTACAAGCACTTACTGTATCCTTTAGTATTAAGCTTACTGTCAACAATCGTCGTACATTCATGTACGAGGCGAGCGGTATGTTTGGAACATACTCCTAACATCATGCTAGATTCTAAGGCGTCTAATCGTGACGTTGATGTTCCCAACAAGTGGTGCCATCGCGAGCATCGATTCCAAATTAAATCTGCGAGCGATATCTCACTTCTAGGAAGTGGGAGGCGATTTCTCAGAACGCTTTGAGACTTCAACAGAAACGGTTGAATGCTTCTCGTACAAACTATTATATATAGTCTGATCTGTACGTTCTCACACAGTTAATTTGTTATAATAAAATAGTATTAAATTCAACAAAGTTAACTAACTGATTACAAATTATTACACGGTACAACAACTTGCGGTTAACGACCTAACGTCAGCAATACTGGTAAAAAAAAGGAAGGAATATTTAACCATAGACGAGCCTCTAAGAAATTCAACAGAATCTTTATTCTACTCCAAAACAAAGAGCGATAAATCATTTTTAGCATAGCAAAAATTGTTTAAGAGTTTTGGAGAATTTTGCTATTGCCTTAAATAAATCAAAGAAAAAAAACTAATATTAAGAGATATGAAAAAGTTTCCTTCTAACAAATTTTGCGGCTTTTAATAATGCGGTGACTATTTTGCACCGTGCGCAGTGTGTTGAATATAATTATGGATTCTAAAATACCAGTTGTAGTGATTTTAGAGAGATTCTAATTTTTTACGACACTCGAAATAATCGATATTAGGAAAATAAATCAGGATCACCTGAAGAGCGCTACCGCGTCTTTTGATAACTGTTAGGTTTGACTAACGTCAATATTCACATTCCCAAAGGAAAGTACACGTCTTTCTCCGATCTCTTCTATCGACATTTCGACAGAAAGGTTCTTGTTTCGTATTTAGTTACATACGTCCCGTCGTTCGAAACGCACGTAATGTCCGTGTTACTAAACTAATCGCAATTAAGAAGCTTTTAGATGATCTTATATCAGCGCTCGGAATTAGTTGCACATTTCGGGCCGATTCCCGAGACGACGCCTCCTGTTCCCCCACTACCGCTCGGCCGCTGGCGGCCGAGCGCCGATAGCTCTGGCGCAGGAGCGTTTATATAAGAAATAGGCTGGGTTGTTGAGGCACCTCTCAGAAAATAGTAATATTTTTTTGTCTACATAAATAATGTTTATTTTCATTAATAATTAAATATATATATATATATTATGTATTAATAAAAATAAACATTATTTATGTAGTGAAGAAAATGTTACGATTTCCCGAAAGATGCCTAAACAATCCAGCCTAATTTTCCTAATATAAAAACGCTCCTGAGCCAGAGCTATCGGCGGCTCGGCCGCCAGCGGCCGAGCGGTAGTGGTGGAACAGGAGGCGTTGTATCGGAAATCGGCCCGAAATGTGCAACTAATTCCGAGCGCTGTCTTATATGATCAGATTTTATATGATCAGTAAAATGTAAGTCCGGTAAAAATAAATATTGTTACATCCGAATTATAAACTTCTGTGAATGTGTAAAAAAAAAGCATAAAGAATTATTTGAATACGAAAAAGTATACAGAGAACGATGAAAATGGCCATGGATATTTTTTAACTATTTAAGAGGATGCTGAAGTGACGGGCGAACTTCGACGCGAAAGCGCCATCATTTCGATGGTACTAAAAATGAAATGACATTATCGGCGCAGCCTACGGACCTATGCCGCGTAGGTCCATGTGTACGCATTTGTTTGTAGTGGTGACTCACTACACTGACGTGTGGTCTGTGTACGTGTGTCATCGGAAGTTTGTAAACAAACGATGCTTGCGCTTGTTTCCTCGACTGAAATTTCGTCGCAAGGCTGCAATATAATGTTCGAGAAAACATAGGCGTATACAAGGTGTCAAATAAATATGACAAAATAATAAATGAAAAATATACATATAATACTATATATATCACTGAAGAAAAATGTCATATACTTTTCTTATTTTTATCCTTATGTAGTAAATACTAAATAAAACTAATTAATCAATTAATTACTATATACATATATTCAATAAATTGTTATCTTTATTTTGTATTTTATATGATAATGACTGAAATAATGAAAGTATATATCATTTCAGTTATATAAAATACAAAATAAAGATAACTATATTCAATATGTATATGTATGTATTCAATAATTAATTAACTTATTTATTTATTTTGTATTAATTACATAAGAATAAAAATAGGAAAAGCATATAACATAGTTTTCCAATTAGATATATAGTATTATACATACATTTTTCAAATAAAATATTTTATCATATCTAACTTATATCTATTAGACACCTTGTATAAGTCTATTTTGTCTCGTATGTACATCATTCAGCCATACGATAGAATTTCAATTGCGAGAAAAAAGGTTAAATGACCTTATAAATTATCTGATAAAATATAAACAGACCACATGTGTAGTAAATTGCTAACTAAAATAAATACGTATTTCTTCAAATCTGCCAGCTGACGTTAGATCGCCTATGACAATATCTTTTAAAATCTGCTAGTTCACGAATAAATCGCCTTTAGCTCTCTTTTTTCTAAACTGTCAGCTAACGTTAGATCGCCTGTGACAATATTTATTAAAAATTGTCAGCTCACGATAGATCACCTCTGACAATATTTCTTACAATTTGCCAGTTCACGAATAAATCGCCTTTAGCTCTCTTTCTTCTAAACTGTCAGCTGACGTTAGATCGCCTGTGACAATATTTATTTAAAATTGTCAGCTCATGATAGATCGTCTCTGACAATATTTCTTACAATTTGCCAGTTCACGAATAAATCGCCTTTAGCTCTCTTTCTTCTAAACTGTCAGCTGACGTTAGATCGCCTCTGATTATATTTATTTAAAAATTGTCAGCTCACGAAAGATCTCCTCTGGCTTGTCTTATTCTATATTGCCAGTCCACGAGAAAACCGCCTCTGGCTTGAAGACAAGAATAAGAATTTTCTTCTAATGCCAGTCCACGAGAAAACCGCCTCTGGCTTGTCTTATTCTATATTGCCAGTCCACGAGAAAACCGCCTCTGGCTTGTCTTATTCTATATTGCCAGTCCACGAGGAAGCCGCCTCTGGCTTGTCTTAATTTTTATTGTAAGATACTTTTATTACGTCATATGCTCTATGTATATATATAATGTATATTATATGCTCCATATTATCTATATTCATATCAAAATATCTTTCTAAGAAATTGACATCATTTTGTATACTTTTTTACAATAAATGTATATGATATATGCCATATTTTATTTCTAAAGCATAAAATATAAAGATATTTTTATTTTTTGTGTCTATCATTTGTAAAAAATCTTGATAAAAGAAACAACATTAATTTTGCGACTTGCAATAATCTGTTTCATTATATGCTTCTTTTAAATACTTATAATTAGCCTTATTTTATGTGATTAACTTGGAATTTAAAATACGTATCAAAATCGAAAATGTATTTCTATTACAGTAGAAAACAAACATTTTTGTGTCTTACAACAGAGAGAAATGGCAAAATATAATATTGTCTAAAGTACAGTCCAATAAAAACTGTTAAAATTGAACATTTTATAAAACCACTGTGATTCATGAAAAATCAGAACTATTATTTCAAAAATATAGACATATTTCGACTGTGTGTTT